GCCAAAAACGTTCGCCTACTTGCAAAAGTGATCTGCCACAAAGCTCCACGAATTCCAAGATGGGGTAGTATCCCGTGTCGTGCTGAAACTGTCTGCTTATCCATGCCGTTACAAAGGTTTTCCAGAGTTCGCGGTCCTGGGCCTGTGGTAGCCAATTTCCGAGGTTGCCTAGGGCCTCCCATTGGAGCTGCACCCATCTGACAGCGTCCGGCCAATACCCTCGCACTCTTCTAGCAGAGGGTTTTTTTTCTATCCAGTCCTTGTCTCTGAATGTTATGACTCGCGTGATGGGCCTCCAGTCAAAGAGGCTGTAGCGGGCTGCGTGTCCCCAATAACGCAGGAAGCATGTTGCTTGTCCTATTGCCCACCTGACATGGCCGCAAGCTTGAGCTGCCATACGAGCCGCTCTCCTTCTACACACCCAGTTGTGCAATTTCGGCTGTAAAGCATCGTAAGCCGGTCTTAGCATTGATGCAAGCAGGGTGGTATGTTGCACGTCGAGCAGATTGCGAACTTCTGTAGTGGGCCGGATTGCTGCGCTCAACCACTTCCACTTATTTGTGACGTAGGCATCAAAGAGGTTCAGGCGTTTCTTCAGTGGGGCATTTCCTCTACAAAGAAACCCACTGTGTCCCCAGAAAGCTCCACTCGCTGCGGCCAGGCGTCTTGCAAGCACAGTCCCACAACTAAGCCCGAAATCCATCAAAATGCCTAAGTAGACGAAGGACTCGGTGTGTTTGATAGCTTGCTCCTTGGACATGCCGGGCAGGAGCAGGGGACTGACGTCCAGGCCCGGTGTGCACAGGAATTGGCACTTCTCCAAAGCCAGTTGTAGCCCTATGCTGGAGAGGGCCTCGCGTATGTCTCTAAGCATTGAAAGTGCGAACTCCCTGGACGGCGCAAGCAAGACTACGTCGTCTGCGAAAAGGATTGCATGCAACGCTGTGCCAAACTGGTCTTTAATCCACGTTGGGTACTTCTCTCGCCATTTGTGGAACAGTGGACTCAGAAAGTGGTCTAGCACCCTCGCGAAAAGTTCGGCCGAATAAGATGAGCCCTGCTTGAGACCTCTCCAAAGGGGTTGGTCCCAGTGGTCTTTCCCCAAAGACATGCATGCAACGGAATTACAAATTATAAGCAACAGCAGCCTTGCCTCAGCGGATGGTCCTAGGCTTGACAGAAACCTAGCTACCGACGCATGTGACATTGTGTCAAACGCCTGTGCTATGTCCAGTTTAACTGCATACAGGGGCAAAGACCATTGCTGAGACGCCCGGATGACATGTTGTAGTGTGAGCGAACCGTCTAAACTCTGTGCTCCAGGGACTCCCGACAATTGGCACGTATGCATCGGTGCAAACAGGCGTCGTAGACGAAGTACTAGGATTTTCGTAAACAACTTGCCTGGCGTGGATGACAGTACTATCGGCCGAAGGTCCTTTGGCTTGGAGGGCTTTTTGGTTTTGGGGAGCAGGACTACCTGCGACCTTAGCCATCGTTCAGGGATCGGCTTCGCTCCTTGCAGTACTGAATTAAAAAAAGACACGAATTTCGGTTGCAGAGGCGATTGCATCAGCGAGTAGATGAGTTCGTACGGAACCCCGTCTGCTCCTGCACTCTTTCCAGCTTTGGTCGTGTCGAGGACTAATTGTATCTCGTCAGGAGTGATGGGGTCTGCATTGGGAGTCTTGCAAACTGCCAAATCATACATTTGCATGGTCTGGTCAGGGGAAGTGGGGTCCGGGGGGGTGTACTTGACTTTGTAGAAGTGTCTGAGGTCACGGGTGGCTGCTTCCTGGCCTCCTGCTCTCATTATGAAGGACCCCTGGGAATGGCGAGCTGACTGGCGGCGCTTAAAGAAACTGATAGCAAAGTAGTCTCCTGCCGCACCCCTGTCCAAGAGTGCAGTCATCCACTCTTTCTTGGCCAAGGCGCGGGTGACCGCTATCTTACGCGCGGTCCGTCTTGCATCGGCTCCTGCATGACTGTTTTCTCCGGAGGGAGATGAGTGCCTTGATGTCCTTCCCGTCTTTGTACCTTAGCGACCTAGGTCTGTGGCACGCCTGCGTCGCCAGGTCCTGCAGAGTATTTGCGGAAAGGTCAAGGCCCGCGGCATCTAGCTGCTCCGCTAGGGCCTCGCATAGCATAGGGGTTTGGGTGAGGTTAACTCTCCACTTGCCACACCTATGTCGTCCTCTGTGCTCGGAGGCTCTATTCGTTCTAGTCTTGAAATTTTGTTGCAGGGCAACGGTGCAACATTTGTGGTCCGTCCCCAAAAGCGTGTCTGATCCTTCAAGTACTTCCGACCAGATCAGACTTCTGTCGCCCTCAGAAAACAAAACGTAGTCTATACGGGAGGCGGCTCCCCTGGTGTTCGTCCATGTGGGTTTGTGCGGGAAAGTTCTGCTCAGCCCGTATTCGTGCATCAGCCCTTCTAGCAGTAGTCTACGCTCATCGTTCTCTTGGGCCTGTAGTGACATCAGGTCCACGTTCAGGTCCGTGAGGAAAGTCAGGCGGTCCATATACCTGATGTGCTGGAGGAGGGTCCTGAGTTCATCCATTTGGTCGTGCCAAACCTTAGAGCAATCTTCCCTTTGTCTGTGCGGCAAGTGCAAACTAATTATGAATTCTCTTCGTCCTGCATCTTGTATAACGACCGCTAGGCCGGTTTCAAGCGGTGCAACTTTAATTACTTTAGGCAGAAGATTCGCGGGTATCCCGACTACCGTACCATGAAAGCTCTGAGGCGGAAACGCGGAAAAGACTGTATAAAGTGTGGCCCCAGCTTGAAACTCATCATGGTCCCAACCTTTAAAAGCCAATTCCTTGAGGCCTCCAACTTCCTGAAAGGCGAAGTAGTCAATGCCCTCACCACCTAGAAGGTCCCAGCATCTGGAAACGTCATCGAGGGTTTTTCCCCTCAAGTTCCACGTGCGAGCGTAGCGAACCTCCAGGTGGTAGGGGCTGACCCCCTATGCGCGGGCGGTCACCCGCTGGTCCCATAGCTCCTGCAGCTGGCTTCCTGGCAATCCTGTCGTTCTCTGGAACGGTTCGGCCCGAATAAACCACCCAGAGTGATTCCCACGGGCGTCCGACAGGGCAAGGTCTTGTTCTTGGTAAGGCTCAGGTGAGTCGGGTCCGCCTAAAATATTGACGTTGCCTACAAACATCTTCCCTCGCCAGTCAATCTCCCCGTGCTGTTTTCGAAGCCCTCCTCCAAACGTAAGTTGATCAATAAACTCCTTCACGCTTACTATAGCCCGGATTTTTGCCCGGTCTTCAGGGGTGCGATGTCGGCTGATCCAAATGACTCTGTTCTCGTTGCCTTGTACCGAGCTCGTCCATTTCCGGGCCTTCAGCTTTTCTAGAACTTGGGTCTGGAAGGCTCTCTGCTGCGGGACAGTTTTGTAGTGGGAGGGGAAAGCCAGTACGACCCGCACGTGTGACGTGCGATTATATGACGAGTAGATATCTTCCCACGCATCTTTCAGCCCTGCCGCTTCAAACATGGCCTTGGCTTCTTCCACAGCATCGTCTCTCCTGCAGTCCTGCCACCCGCCGATGGCGAGCTGCAACTCCTCTTCGATATTGCGCTCTCTCCCCGGGGTAGGACTTCTGTCTCTGGGGGAACGGGGGGCGTGCGACGGTGTCGGGGACCTCGAGGCCGTGCGCAATTCCTTCACTTCTTTCTCGAGTGCCGATATTCGAAGTAGGCTACCCTCGTGCAACTCTGCATGTTCTCTTAATTGTGCATCGTGGTCATCCAGGCGAATTTCCTGGGCCTTCATTTCCGTAGTGAAATGAACAAGTTCCCGATGTATCTCATTATGACGCATGTTCATGTCCGAAACATCCGCTTTGAGGGGCTCAAGGTGCGCCAACAATCTACCCTCCAGTGCCCCCACCCATGGTGGTGTATCTGCTTCGTACGGTGCCGGGCGGTCTCTTCTGGGCCTGGGTAGTGGAGGTGCCATGGTAGCGTGCGCCCCTGCCAACTCGTCGTTCATTTCTGCTGCGTTGCGTTTGGGGGGGTCAAGGTCGAAGTACTCAGCGCCATGGGCCCGGCGATCTCTAGGTTTATTCTCCGATCCGAATCCTGGTGGGTCCAACCGAGGGAGTTTGGGGGGAGGCGGCTTCCTGGAACTCTCACTTCCCGAGCTTTCTCTCTCTGTCTTCCTCACGAGCAGTCTCTCTAAGGCGCTGGCGTGGTGTCCCGCTGGATTGAAGAGCGGGTCATGGGCTCTCACCGCTTGTCCTGGAGTGCCGTCCATGGAGACGGGTGGTCCTGGGATATGTTCCTCCTGGGAGTCAGGCTTGCGGGGGGGGATCGCATGCGTACTCAGTCCCTCCTTGGTTTCCGGGGAAGCGACATGTGGTTTCAGCTCCTCAAGCACGTCGGCTACTCCGGCACGAGAAATCTCAGGCTCACCCGTCAAGGGGGTGGGCTGGCATTCTTCTTCGTCCACCTCAATGCTGTCTTCATCCTTGGTCGTCTCGCGTCGATCTCCCAGGGGCACAAAAGCCACTGTTGTGGCTTGGCTCGGGGATACTTCGGGTCTTCGGGTGTCTGGGTCTGCTAGAGACCTAGCGATTCGGCATTCGAGCTCACTTGCAGCCCCGTGTCCTGAGATCATTGCGGCCTGAAGCAGTAGCTACGGGTTTAGCTTTCCGAAGTGGTGGAGGAGGGCAGGCAAATGAGCAACGGCGATACGAAGAAGGAGAAGACAGAAAAGGGCGAGACCGGACTGAAGAGGTAGGGAAGCACAAGCCAGGTCTTTGCTTGAGCCAAAATGGCTGTAGCCATTTTGATTTCTGATTGAAGTACCTACCTTCCCGTGCATGCCGTCAGCCTTTCCAAGGGCATTTTTGAAATTCTTCTTCAAAACAGTATGGATCAGCAACGGAAACTCAAAAAACATTGCAACAGGCACTTAAGAGCTCTAAACGCCGACACCCTCAACCTCAGGCTAAGCACAGACGCCCTCCACACGAACAGCCGCCTGCAGATCAAACTCCCAGCCCACTGACCGCGGCAGGAGCGCACCTTGCAGAACCTCTTCGAGCTTCAGGGTTCCAGGGTGCAGCGTCGATATGGTAGGATTCCAGATGGGGAGTTCTTAGCACCGGGATCCTCCACAAGCGCATTGTTTGACAAGCAGGTGGATGCCTTCAAACAAACACAGGGAGCTCTCGAATAGTTCGATGTGCCTGGAGCACTCTTCTTCCGGCGGTTATGTCAACATGCTGTCGAACTGATATGGAAGGTGGCTTAGAGCTCGGTAGGATGTTGCCAATGCTGATTTCCTGAAGTCGTTGCTGCTCCTGCTCGTCTTCCTTTTTTTCTGGGAGGACAACGACGGCATTTGGCAGTAATTAACAAGAACAGAAGAAGTAATCGTAGTAGTAGTAGTAGTAGTAGCAGTAGCAGTGGCAGAGGCAGTGGCAGAGGCAGAGGCAAAGGCAGTCGCAGTAGCATTAGCAAAGCAGCAGCAGTAGCAGTAGAAGTAGCAGTAGTAGCAGTAGCAGTAGCAGTAGCCGTACGAGTAGTAGTAGTAGTAGTAGTAGTAGTAGTAGTAGTAGTCGTAGTAGTGGTAGTAGTAGTAACAGTAGTAGTAGTAGTAGTAGTCGTCGTCGTAGTAGTAGTAGTACTAGACTAGCAGTAGTAGTAGTAGTAGTAGTAGTAGTAGTCGTCATCGTCGTAGTCGTCGTCGTGGTGGTGGTGGTGGCAGTGGCGGTAGTAGCAGTAGTGGAAGTGGTAGTGGTGGTAGTGGTGGTAGTAGTAGTGGTGGTAGTAGTAGTAGTAGTAATAGAAAACCTCCACGATCTTGCCCACACTGATGAAGTGCTGGTACGGCTTCTTCTCCTTCGGACTAGTTTCGGCCACGTCGCGTACGCACAAGGGTGGCTCACACATTGAGATAAGAAAAAGAAGTAGTAGATGCAGATGTGGAAGTAGACTACACATGTGTATATATATATATATATATGTTTGTGTATACAATACAAATACAAACCCCGTATACATGCACACACACACACGCACACACACACACACACATATATATATATATATATATATATATATATGGTACCCCCCTCATGTATCTACCGTTTGTCTCTTCCTCTGCTTCAAGTCACTTGGTTGCACTATGACTACAAGCAGCGTGGAGCATTTTCAGTTCCTGGTTGCTTTCGTTTCTTGTGTTGTCCCTACTGTTGAAACATAGAAATCCAAGAAAACATTGGCTTTACCGATGTTTAGGGAAGGAAATATGGAAATCATTGGTTTTTACCAATGATTCCTGTGAGTTCTGGACTATCTCCCTCGCGACCGCCGGCAGACAGATTGAAACTCATGGAAATCAAAGAAAGCAAGGGTTTTATCAATGTTTTCGCAACGCAACACGGCTTGTGTTGTCCCTACTGTTGAGACATGGAAATCCAAGAAAACATTGGTTTTACCGATGTTTAGGGAAAGAAATATGGAAATCATTGGTTTTTACCAATGATTCCTGTGAGTTCTGGACTATCTCCCTGGCGACCGCCGGCAGATAGATTGAAACTCATGGGATATCATAGAAAGCATTGGTTTTACCAATGTTTTCGCAACGCAACACGGGAAACATTGGTTTTGCAAATGTTTGTGACACCCACCATTCGCGAAACATTGGTTTTACCGATGCTTTTGACATCCAGCATTCACGAAACATTGGTTTTACCAATGTTTGTGACACCCAGCACGCACGAAACATTGTTTTTACCAATGTTTTTGACGTCCAGCATCCACGAAACATTGGTTTTACCAATGCATTTGGCGTCCAGTTAATGACTCGCAGCATTTCTTATAGGATTTTATGCTATGCCAAGAAGAGTCCCATCCTTTCCAGAGTTTGGTGTTATTGAATTAAAACAAACGAAAGCATGAGGAACGAGTGAAGGACATGAAGAGAGCGTTCGTGGTTCATGCTGTTTCTCTTTTAACTTAATTAAACACGGATCCTTTCATTCTTCATCCCTTTGTTCTAGTTGAATTAAAGGGAAAACAGCATTCACCTAATAATATGAAGAGAATACACGGCTAATTTAATTGAAGAAAGAAAATGAACGAACGAAGAGAAGCGAAGCGTGCTTTCTTCATACTAAGTTTGGCCTTTGCTGAACGAAATGGGGAAAAAACGAATTTTAAACTAAAGAAACGCGCATGCGTGCAATTCTTTCGCTACTTTGTTTGTTTTTGATTAAAAATAGATCTTTTGCTGCTATGACTTGAATGGTGGTTTCTATTTTAGTTGGAGATTGCCTGGTTCCCGTCTTCATTGCTTTGCCTTCTTTGCTTTGATTTAAGTAATAAGAAAAAGGTAAGGAACGCAAAGTGAACGAGCAAGAGGAACGTGAGGAATGTTCTTCGTTTTCATTGGTTTTAATTAAACCGGGTTTTCATCTCACTTTTCGCTTACATTGCGTTTACTTAAGAACGAAAGGCACAGCATTCATTCCACCAGTTCACCTATTACCTTCAAGAATCACTTAGCATAATAAAATCTAGGGGTTCGTGCCTGTGGTTCTTGTCCTCTAGTCAAACTAGCACAATGAAGGGAAAGGAATGAGCGAAAGCGTCGTTAATTTAATTCGAACAAGAAACACGAAACGAGCCAGGAACCCGTTGGTCAATTCTAATTGATTGAAAAGCGAAAAGCATGCTTTCATTATCTTTTCGCCTTTCATTTATTAATATAGGCAACGGGAACGAGAGATAGAATCCTGAGTCACTAACTGGTAGGAAGGAGATGTCATTAGAATGTAGNNTAGGAGGGTTTATTGGTCAAGGAATCACTATATCTTCTGGTATAATCCTAATGGTTGGAAAAGAAAGGAACGAAACCAACGAGCGAATTAAATATAATGAAACGAAGTGAAAGCATGATTTGATTAGTGTTTTGCTTTCGGTCCCTCTTTTCACCTGTTTTGTGTTTCTTTTGTGTTCTTTCATTTGGTTTAATACGTGCCTCCATTCACTTCTTTCATTCGTTACACTTAAACCAAATAAAAAGACAAAAGAAATGAACAACACCCCAAAAGATAGGAAGGTTATTCCTGATCCAATAGATGACAG